CTTTTGCGATTGTAAAACCGGAAACTTCTACATCCTTTATAAAAACCCACTTGGATTATAAGCCAGGCTTTGGCGTGAATTCTTTCTCAAGGTATTACCCCCTCGATGAACCTTACAATAATAGATATAGCTCAATTTTTTATTTCATTTATTTGTTTATTTGAAAAAATGGTTTTATTGGGTAGCTCATACAACTCATCACCATACATACATACATACATACATATAATTCTAGGGTGCGTTCATCAGAGTTCACTTGGTTGCTTTTCTCAGCACAATCGGGGTATAAAGAGTTGGGGGCAGGTCACCCCGTATGTATTTCGGCACTCACTGTCTTTGCTGGTGCTCCTTGTCATGTCTTCTCTTATGTGTATCTCATTGACTACCGGTGAGTCATTCTCTGACAACTTGAATGGGCTTGGATATATCTAAGGTTGAATTTCAGGCTCTCGTGGATTCGTGTCCTTTTTGTGTGCTTCTTGAGCCCAACTTCATTTTTGTCTGTTGATAATGAGCTTCTCCAACTTCTCTTTTATGTTTGTGGTTAAATTCTGAGCATTTCATTTGTCGGCAGATAGGGATAACAGCCATCCAACCCTCCACCCACCCATCCCTCAACCACTAGAGAAGTCCCCACATGGATTAAATTTCATTAAGTTCCTTGGGATCTTGAACCAATGCAGCAGGTAACCTTGCCCTCAGGCAGAGTGCATTGGAAGGAGGATTGCTTCCATCCCTCTCCAGAGAATCCTGGGAGGACCAGTGTCTTAGGAGCTTGCCAGGGTTTCCTTGGTGGACATTACCTGATGGTTGCATGGTTAGGAACATACTCTAGTCCTCTTGCCCAGATTGTCTTGGTTGGAAGGACCCATTTATAAGCTCTATCCAACATAATGTGTGTATCTCAATCATGGCCTGGTTTGGGCTTCCTTACCTCCACCCCCACCCCCCTCCTCTCATTTTTCTTAATGATCTGCCAATCAGTCGTGAATTTGAGACAGTTTCCCGTGTTCCATGCCTGTGTTAGGTTGGACTGAGTAAAGAAAAAAATCCAGTGACACTCACATGTGTAAGGGAGAGCTTTATATCAAGAAGTCTATCTACTGAGAAGAGAACCCAGACTCTGGTCTGTAAGTCTGATAACAATCCATGAGTCCCTCCTCAGACTCATGTAGTCATATGCAATGATGCAGATCACATCCGATGGGTACAGAGTCAGTGGAACCAACTGATACAACATCAGTGGAACCATCATGGGGCTTCAGCAGCTCTTAGGGTGGTCAGCAAGCTGGTAGGTGAAGGCAGAGAAAGAGGGGGACAAGACTCCAGAAAGATGTATTCTGGGCCAATCTCCAAGGGAGGTCTTAGGCTGCAACCTGATGGACAAACTGAATGGCACTGATATGTTTATTTGAGTGCAATGCTTTAACTGACATTAGGTGCTATCATGCCCTCTTGAGATCGTGTTGACATTCATGTGGGATCTATGTAAGGTTGCATTTTGGTTCTTCTTCATTATTTAGATTTTTGTTTACATGTGGGCAAATGATTTCCTCTTTGACAGTCAGACAGCTTCCTTTTTGAATACTGAAAACGAGCTTTTCCAACATCACAAAGTCAGAGCTTAAAATTGGAGCTTTCCTTTTGTTTGTAACTTTCCGGTTCAAACTGTCAAAAATTATCAACGCCTATGTATGTATGTATGTATGCATGTATTTGATGTTGGTCTCCTTTAATGGGGGTGCGGTGGCGCCACATTTAATCAGTGGCGTAAACAAGATGCCGGAGAGGGTGACTCTAAACTAAAGGCCCGGATGTAAGGGCGGAAGATGCGATGTGTGAGAAGAGGAAGCGGGGTCCTGCGTCCACGTGGACGTCTTCTTCCGGTGACGTCTTTCCGCCCCTTCTTTTCAAGCGCTCACTCACTTGCCGTCCTGGTCGTAGCGGAGAGAGGGTGCGCACCAGGAAAGGCCGTCCCTTGATCCCGTGGTCCAGCTGGTGAAGTGATTCTGGGTTTCATAGTGGGATGGGGAGTAAAGGGGGGAACAGGGTGCGGGCGGGAAGCAGTGAGGTGACTGTAGCGTCTGTGCAGACGCGCCATTTCTGATCCCCGTCCGTGTTCTCTGGGCTCGGGCACCACAGGTGGCGTTCCTCGTGGGCGCACTTGGTCAGGACGCCCTTTCTGAGGATGGAGGGGAAAAGACAAAGCTTGTGGAGGTTCTTTACAGTATTTCCCTCGTAATTCTTGATTTCATAGTGGGATGTGAAGTAACGTGGGGTTGGGGGTGGGGAGTCGCGGCGGTGCAGGAAGCAGTGAGGTGACTGTAGTGTCTGCGCAGACGCGCCATTTCTGATCCCCGTCCGTGTTCTCTGGGCTCGGGCACCGCAGGTGGCGTTCCTCGTGGGCGCACTAGGCCAGGACGCCCTTTCTGAAGCTAGAGGGGATTATTGAAGGAATTTCCCCTCATAATCATGTTCTTTACTGTATTTTGCCTGATAATTTTTGTTTTAATAGTGAGATGGGAAGTAACGCGGTGGGGGGGGGGTGTCGCAGTGGCGCTGGAACCAGTGACGTCACTCTAGCGTCTGTGCAGACGCGCCATTTCTGATCCCCGGCCATGTTCTCTGGGCTCGGGCAGCACAGGTGGCGTTCCTCGTGGACGCAAGGACGCCCTTTCTGAAGCTGCATGGGAAAAGGGAGGGCTTGCTGACAGAAATACCCACCATATTCATGTTTGTCACAGTAGTTCACCTGGTAAATCTTGTTTTCATAGTGGGGAGAGGGAAGTAACTTGGGGGGAGCAGGGGGTAAGGGCTGTGCAGGAACCAATGAGGTCATTTTAGCGTCTGCACAGACGCGCCATTTCTCACCCTCGTCCACATTCTCTATGTTTGGGCGCCAGGGGTGGCTTTCCTAGTGGACACACTTGGTCAGGACGCACTTTCTGGAGCTGGAGGGGAAAAGGCAGGGATTTTTGAAGGAATTTCCCCTCATAGTATATCTTTACAGTATTTCGCCTGATAATTCTTGTTTTCATAGTGGGATGGGAAGTAACGGTGGGGGTGGGGAGTCGCGGAGACGCAGGAGTCAATGAAGTCACTCTAGCGTCTGTGCAGATGCGCCACTTTTTATCCTTGTCCATATTCTCTGTGTTGGGGCACGAGAAGTGGCGTTCCTCATGGGCACACTTGGTCAGGATGCCATTTCTGAAGCTGGGGCGGGGGGAAAGAGAGGGCTTGCTTACCCCCATATCCATGTTCATCACAGTAGTTCACCTGGTGTTTCTCATCGACACTGGATGTGACCGAGCACCATAGCTTTCCCAGCCAGCTGCCTTCTGCGATGCAGCTAGTAAAGGTCTTTCCATGATGGTGCAAGGAAAAGACAGCCTGGGTCATCTCTAGGAAAAGGTATATAATGGGTAATCTCTATTAATGCCTCCTATTGACTGCATGTTTGTTTCATTTCAGACTGAAGAAGTTGTTAAAACTCTTTCGTTCTCCATCGACAGTTTTCATGGCTGCTGAGGAAATCTGAGGCATCATTGTAGCAACTGGGTTGTCCTGGACACCCATATATTCTGTCACGGAGAGCATTATCATTCAAGATAAATTTTCAAACTTCCTTTCTGATGATGAATGATAAATTTGTCATTCCCTACATGCTCTGCCATCAGGTTGCCTCCTTCAAGAGCCGCATTAATTTTTAAGCTTTCTTTGACTTTTGTGTAAGTCACTCCTAAGGTGTGATCCTAAGTGATATTCCTCCAGGTTGTAGAGGATTTAAGGTGTGACACCCCCCCCCCCAGTGAATAACGCAACACAACAGAAAACACAGCCATCCAGGACATGCTCAGTTATGAGGACCGCAGGAAACCTGTATCCTTTCACAACTTGCTGAGATAGATAAGAGGGGCAATTTTTCTGAGTGGCAGCCAATCTTATCCCAGGGGAGATTGTAGCAGAAGGGTATGTCATCAGTGATGGAGTTTGATAAGTAAATGACGTTGAAAACAAAATGTGTGATCTGAAAGGTAAACCCTTACCCTATTTACAATTTTAAAAGTACATTAGAATGGTAAAATGGTAAAAGTATGAGTTATCCTTATTATCTATTTAGTTATCTATATTCTCTGTGCCTCTACATCAATTAAATGTGGCGCTTCTGCCCCTTCCCTCCACCCCCACCCCAAAAATAGATAAAAGAAAATGGGGCCAGTAGAGGCCACCTGCTCAGAATGTGATCACTTGTGAAGGTCTTCCTGCTTGAGAAGATATCACCCAATTGTGTTTGGAAAGTTTGATATAAATCATTACTAAGCTGAAAAGAGAAGGGACCCAGTGGTTTAAGCTTTGGGCTGGTACCCACAAGGTCAATAAATCTAAACATGCTTTGGGGCAAAGCTGAAGCCGTCTACTCCGCTCAGACACCCACAGGGGCAGTTCTGATCTCCTGTGTGGACTCACCAGGAGCCAGAACCGACTCAATGGGTCAGAAGTTGAGCTCCAGGGAATGATACAACCCCAAAAGGTTAAGCCATCTGTTGTCAGCAGCCAATGGCAGAAGGTTGTGGTCCCCTCCCCCCCACAGTAGTACTCTCTAGTTATCAATTATATCCCAGACCTACAGGCCATGGGACTTGAGACAGCCACTGCCATCTTTCCTACTAAACTTCGATTCATCCATCTCCCCAGTTGCTGAGCTCACTGCCCGCCATTGACCGGATCATCTTGGATTCCACCGCCTCTGAACTACGTTGATTGAGGAGTAGAATTCAGTTTGAAAACCTAAGCCCCACGTGGACATTTCCAGCCTCTACCACAGTGAGTTGATGAGCTGAGTGGCATAGCCAGAAAGCTCCCCTTTGAGGAGCTAAGTGGGTGGGAGGGGGATCCAGATTTTGGAGGGCTAGGACAACCAGCTAGGCTCTCCCAGCATTATGAGCAGACCCCTGTTTCCATTAATAGGTCAGGATTTCTTTTGAAGCATTTTGATCAGCATGAGCACCAGGAACCTTCCCAGGCTCCTGGACCTCTCCATCCAATGTGTCTTGCAAAATGAGGCCTCAGTCATTGCTGCTCTGGAGTGGCTGCCCGTAGATCTCTTCTCTCCCTTGTTCAAAGCAGCCTTTGATGGGGGACACACAGAGATAGTGAAGAGCATGGTGTTCTCCTGGCCCTTCACCCATCTCCACCTGGGAACTCTGGTGGAGGGTTGTGAATCTCCCTATGGCGTCTTAAAGGCTGTACTTGATGGTCTTGAGATGCTGCTTGCCCACAGGGTTCGACCCAGGAGATGCAAACTGAGGCAGCTTGATTTACGGCGCCACACGGACACCGAGATCTGGAATACGTGGCTCGTATCCCAGTTCAGTGGCTTTGAGACTGCATCACAGGAGCCTGAGGCCACCCCACCCAGTACTCAGAGTCCAGAAGAGGAGAGATCCGGGTCAGAGGAGAGGCATCAGCTCCTGCCCCCTGTGAATGTGATCATAGACCTGCGCTTTCGGGAAGAAATCCTGAATGCATTGCTCACCATCCTTGGTGAAATGGTCAAGGAGGGAAAGACTCTGCCTCCCCTGTACTGCAGGAAGGTGGAGTTTGTTGGGGATGTGCCCCAAGTTCCTGTTCTTGAGGAGATCCTGCAAAAGGTGCGGCTGGACTCTGTCTGGGATGTGGAAGTGGATGGCAGATGGGACCTGCACGACCTCAACTGGTTTGCTCCTTACCTGTCCAAGATGGTTAATCTGCACACCATCTCTCTCTCTGGAATCACCCTATGTTGCTTGGGGTCATGCAGGCAGGATGGGGTGCAGATGCTTCTTGCTGAATTCACCTCTCACTTTGTCGGGCTGTATGAGATCGAGGACCTCATTCTGGAATCTGTCCTCCTTCATGGCCGCCTCCATCAGCTGCTCACATGCTTTCAGGCCCCCCTGAAGTCCCTCACCATCAATGCCTGCAAGCTTGTGGACTCTGACTTGACATGCCTGTCCTGCTGTCGCTGTACCAGCCACCTGCAGTCCCTGGATTTGAGTGGTATATTTGGGGATAACATAAATTATGCCTTCCTCCCAGGTTTGCTAATGAGGTTGTCAGCCACCTTGACCCACTTGTCCTTAGATTCCTGTGGCCTCAAAGAACCTGATTTCATGGCCTTGCAGGCTGCTCTGGGCCAGTGCTCCCAGCTCCAATCCTTGGTGTTGTGTGGAATCCCCGTCTCCATAGAAGTCCTGCTGGCCCTGCTGCATCACACCATGCCACGGTGCCAATATGCCTTTCTGGAGCTCCCTGTCCCTCCCCATTGCTATGTGGGACCCCAAGGTACTCTGAATAAAGGCATTTTTGAACAGGTCATGCAGGACCTGACCCTGACCCTGCCGACGAGCAGGCCCCACTCAATACGTTTGCTTTCCTCTCACAGTCGGAATGGGTCTGATGCAATCGTCATTGAGATCAAGCCTTGATGTCACAAGATAGCAAGATCCAAATGTTAGGTAGTTGAGACAGGGACCAGGGGGTTTGTCCCTCCCATGCCTAAAACCCTGACCTACATTTCTTTTTCCTACCACTTGCACTAGGAGACAATAAATATCTTTGTAAAGCTATCCACTTGTGGCATTCATTTCTCCCGTAGTGGAATCGTAAACCTTTAGATGGTCACAGAATGAATTCTTTGCTGTGTCTGTTCACGACATGTAGCATGGATGCTGCACTCAGCAGAAACTGGCTCCCAGGACAGGGGATACTGGTCACCCCCTACATCTGTCCCACCGCGCCACCAGTTTTAGGCCACCTTCTCGATATGTGATGCTTGATATGTGATGCTTCGTTTTCCATGTCCGCTCAGCTGGGCACTGCTTCTCAGTGCCGGTCCAGTTATGTCATGATGTTCTCAGAGTCCCGGTGGTGTCCTCGTGACAGCCCTGGTGTGTTTGGAAGGAAGTATTTCTAGGTCTGAGGGACAATCCCACCAGTTTCTGCACAGAGAAAACAGAAGGCTGTCTGCTCCATTAAAGGTCTACAGCCTTCTCTTAAACACATCTGACTTATTTGGGATGTTTCCTTTTCTGCATATACTTGACTGGGTCATGATTCTGAGTAGTTTGGCAGGTATGTAATGATGTAAGCTTTGGCATTCTGGGGGGCAAGCTGGGCTATATCTTGGCCTGTTAAGTGGGGGCTGGGTTCTTCAAACCCACCACTTCTCCAATGGAGAGAGATAAAGCAGTCTCTCCTACAAATATACACAATGGTGTTTCCCCTAGTGGGTGATATCGCACCCCAAGAGGGGGCATTGGGATGATCCACAGGGCTACAAAAGTACATGCCTATACTTTATCCTGTATGATGGGCCATTGTGCAAACATTTCAATTGTCTTGGAGGTGCTGAGAGAGTATATTCTGAAGAGAGGCCGGTTGAGGATAGGGCTCTCTTGTAATATCCTTATAACGAGTTCTCTGGGCCTCATCTTTACGAGCAGAGTGTCTCTGGACATCATCTTTATCTATGGGGTTTCTCTGGGCATAATCTTTATGAATGAGGGTTATCTGGGTTTCATCTTGAAGAATGGGCTTCTCTGGGTGCCATATTTATGGTTGGGGGTTCTGTGGGCATCATCTTTAAGGAGGGAGGTTCTCTTGAATCATTTTCATGAATGGGATTCTGTGGTGTCATCTTTACGAATGAAGTATCTCTGGGCCTCGTGTATAAATGGGTATTCTCTGGCATCACCTTTCAGGGTTGGGGTTCTCTGGGAATCATCTGTATGAATGGAGATTCTCAGGGAATCATCTGTAAGAATGGGGATTCTCTGGGCATAATCTTTATGAAAGGGCTCCATAGTCATCTTTATAAATGGCGGTTCTCTGGGCATCATCTTTGTGAATCATGTTCTCTGGGCATCACTTTTAGGAATGAGGGTTCTCTGGGTGTTTATGATTGAGTTCTCTGGGAATCATCTTTATGAATTAGGGTTCTCGAGGTATCATCTATGAGTTGGGGTTCTCTGGGCATCATCTTTATGAATTAGGGTTCTCTGGATGTCATCGTTATTTAAATGAGGACTCTCTGAACATCATCCTTACAAACAGAGATTATCTGGGCACACTCTTTATTAAAAGGGGTTCTCTGAGCATCATCTTTATGAATAGGTGTTCTCTGCACATTATTAAGAATGGGATTCTCATGTGTCATCTTTATGAATGGAGTTCTCTGGGCATCATCTTTACAAATGAAAGTTCTCTGGGCATCATCTTTACGAAGGGTGATTCTCTGGGAGTCATATTTATGAAGAGGGACTCTCTGGGTGTCATCTTTAAGAATGAGGGTTCTATGGGCATCAAATTTACGAATCAGGATTCTCTGGATATCATCTTTATGAAAGGGGGTTCTCTGAGCATCTGTAATGATGGGCTTCTCTGGACACCCTCTTTACTAACGAGCTTTTCTGTGCATCATCTTTATTAATGGGGGTTCCCTGAGCATCATTGTTACAAATTAAGGTTCTCGGGGCACCATCTTTATGAATGGGGATTCTGTGGCATATTTAAGGATAGGGGTTCTCTTGCATCACCTTTATAGATCAGGTTCTCTGAATGTCATCTTTCAGGAAAGGGCATCATCTATAAGGATGGGGTTCTCTCAGAATAGTCTTTATGAATGGTGGCTCTGTGTGTCTTTATGAATGGGTTTTCTTGACATTAGGGAAGGGGTTTTCTGGGCATCGTCTTTATGAATCGGGGTCTGTGAGCATCATCTTGAAGGTTGTATTTCTTTGGGCATCATCTTTAATAATGAACATTCTCTGGGTGTAATGTTTATGCATGTGTGTTCTGTGGACATCATCTTTAAGGATGGGGTTCTCTGGGTGTCATATTTATGAAAGGGTCCACTAGGCATCATCTTTATGAATGGTGTTCTCTGGGCACCATCTTTAAAATTGAGGGTTTTGTGGGCATCATCTTTATGAATGGGGGTTCTCTGCATGTATCATATTTAAGCATGGGGTTCTCTGGGCATTATCTTTGTGAATGGGGGTTCTTCAGGCATCTTTAAGGATGGGGTTCTCGGCATCAATGCTGTGAATAGCAGCTGGGTGGCACAGATGTCACACACGTCCGTTTTTGCTTGGCTGCCCTCTGAAAAACGGGTTTCTCCCCACTTCGGAAGGGGAAACCATCTGGCCCTGCTCCGGCCAGGAGCAGGGTGACAGAGTAAGGTACCTTCTGGGCAGTTCTCCTTCAGGGGTCACTGTTTGTTGGAATGGACAGCAACAGCCATCTTTGTAGGAACAAAGCCTCCAGGTTGAAAATCAGGGCCCCCAACAACTCAAAGCGGGGGTCTCAGTAGACAGAGGCAGATGTTGACAGGAGGCATGCACAGCGCCCCC